AACAACAACAAACAAATGATGATAATAGTATTAATGAGTTAGATAATAAGAGTTGGTTTGTTGTTCCATATATAAATAACATAACCGAGAAGTTTATAGACATAGTTAAAGATTGTAATGTAAGATTAAGTTTCTTTAGCTTGAATAAGCTCAGTTGTTTTATAAAGACGCAAAAAGATCATGTAGCATCTTTAATGAAAAGAAATGTAATATACAAGATCAATTGTAACGATTGTGACGCGTCTTATGTTGGTCAGACCAAGCGCACGTTAGCAACGAGAGTGAAGGAACATAAGAACGATATCAGGAAGATTGATGGCAATCTCTCAGTAATTAGTGAGCACAGATTGAGCTCAAATCATGAATTCGATTGGGAGGGAGTTGAAATCATGGACTCAGAAAGGTGGATGTATAAGAGGCGTATTTCGGAAATGCTGTTTATAAAATTACAAAGGAATGGCTTAAATTTACAGTCGGATACTGATCTTTTGCACAACTCTTATATACCTATCCTTGAAGAGTTTAAATAAGTTCATTAGGACTATCAATGTATAATATTGAACATAGCTTTAAATAATGTTATAACATGATTGGTTGTACGCACATTTTCATCATTGGTAGTTAGATTGTACATGATATTTGGGTTCGTTTACAAGAGAATATTGAAAACAGAGGTTTAACACAATGTAAGGATTCAGCTTTGTATATCATTATGACTTTGTTATTCTCTGACTGCGTTTATCGTTGTTAAGACGTTAAAATTTTATTATCTAGACACAGTTACACTACTTATTATAAATATAATGAATTTGGATACTTTGCAATAATCTAATTGTGATTGTTCGAATGGGTGAGTTGTTGTTTTTCCTTTGTTTATTATTAATAATATAGGAATTAATTCAGCTTATTGATTATAATGCCGTTACAATATGCAGAGTTTTTGAGATTCAAATCCACAAGACTTGCCAATCTTGTCCATCCATATGAATACAAGGACAGAGCGACCACTCCCTAGTTCGAACAAATAGACAAAATTTGAGAATGATGTTCACTGAAGATGGCCCGGATGTTTGGCCGAAACGTATGAAAGAAATAAATATTTGAATTACTACATCGATTTGGTTTAACTTTACTGCACTAATTACGCAAGTTGTGACTCTTAATAGCCTGAATTTATTTATTAGAGATATGTAATTAGTCAAGTTCAGCGTTACATGTAAGTTTTATAATCCTTCCTTTTATAATATATTAATAATAAGATAATAACATACATATAATTCATTTATATAGCAAATCAATCAATTTGATGTACATTATTAGAACAAAGGACACATTCTGCAATTTATGTTAGCCTTAAGACAATATTTATAGCGTTTAATATATTTTGTACTGAAGAGGACCCGAAGCGAGGGTCGAAACGTTTACCGATTAATGTAATTCTTTTCGAATAAATTTTTCTACACATGAATATCCGGTGTCGGCTCATACTTATTGATATTATTGATCTATTTCATTAAGATATACATGTAGTTCTAATATTTTATCCAAATTATGCAGATATCTGTAATTTTGAGTGGGCTCTGATTAGGCACCATGAATTTTCGATACTGTATAAAAAAATCACCTTAAACATTACGATCGTGACTTTTAAGCATCTTTAGATGATCAGAATTCGATGGTTGTAGCTTAAGTAATAGCTATGCTATACTATACCTATAGATTATGACTTTATCCAGTTGTTTTCTTTTTAATAGCTAACATTCCTAATAATTATGTAATACAAAAAAGAGTAATTTTCTGAAAATCCTGGGCGTACTAAAAAGCGATCTTATTGACTTTCCTTCTTTATGATACAAAAGGTGAAAATGAAGATGAGGGTTAAAACTCTTTTGGTAAAGTAGTTTAATATTTAAATTAAAACTCACGTTGGTTGATGTCCAGCAAATTTTAAAATAAGATCTATTAATACAGCTGGTAGAATATGCAATAATATTGTTAGTATATACAATATAACAGGATTTTGAGTTGATATTAAATGAGGTGTCCAGACAATTCCTTCCAAAGGTACCTCATTTATAACACTGAAGGATACATTTTGAGTAACTTCATAGGTAATGTATTTTAAACTTGTGCAATTTACAACTAAAGGTGCGGAATCTGTAATGCTAATAATAAATCAAATTATAAATCAATTATAAGAAATTAAAAGATAAATAATAATAGACTTCCAATTTGCATAAACTTTTATAAAATCTACATTGAGTTCCAGAAAAATAATTTATTACTTATAAAATTTTCAATTATACAGGGTGTCCCCAACATACGGCCCCACTCGTCTTGAGCAGGTAGAGCGGACTAAAGTGAGTCAAAAAGTCCTCTACCATTTTGCAATTTTCGCAATAGTTAACAAGATATTAATTACTAAATATCGTAAAATATTGGTCTTGAATAATTTTTTACTCAAATGCTACCAACTTTACAAAAAAACTGCAAGAGACAAAAATCATTTATTTTCTTCTCATAAAGTTCTAAGAATTTTTTTAGAATTTATTATCAACTTTTTAATACTGCATTTTCTTATTTTTACCAACGTGAGAAAATACGGTATTATAAAATTCTGAAAAAATTCTGAAAAAATTCTCAGAACTTTATGAGAAGAAAATAAATTATTTTTGTCTCTTGCAGTTTTTTTGTAAAGTAGATAATATTTGAGTAAAAAATTATTAAAACTAATATTTTAATTTTTAGTAAATAGCTTGTTAACTGTTGCGAAAATTGTAAAATGGTAGAGGACTTGTCGACTCAGTTTAGGCCGCTCTACCTGCTCAAGACAAGTGGGGCTGTATGTTGGGGACACCCTGTATAAAACACACCGTATTATAAAAAAGTATCAATCATTAATACGGTTCGACAACCTATCCGAAAACATAAATAGGGTAGACCGGGGAGTAAAGGGCCACTTTTGACATTTTTTGCTATAAAATAAAGAATATTTAACTCACACAGATCGTGTTGATATTTTTCGAAACTAGAGTCCTTTGACTATAAAATACATGTAACAAAGTATGCATATATACCCTTCATTACAAAGATATCGTAAATTTTACAGAGGAAGTCATTCGGCACTTCTTACCCCATATGTGGGGCAAGAAGTTCCAAGTTCCACATAATGAGGTAAAAAGTACAAATACTTATATATTACGTTTGAACTATTTTCAGAGATAAAAATAGGTATATACTAGAGAGTTTTTTTTATTATAAGGTGGGTTTTTATTATTAAGAGGGTTTTGGTAACAAAATTATAATAGAAATATTTCA